TTTTTTTTTTTTTTTTTTTTTTAATATCAGCTGAAATGTTCAGATCCTTTAACACATCTTGGACACATCATGGATTTCTAGGATCCTGAAACATCCGAATCATCGGAGGCAAATAAAAATCAGAAGATGATTTATTTTAAACTGTTCATGTACTAGATCGATACAACGTGCGGCAAGCTGTAAATAAACTGACTGTTTTATTAAAATAGTTTTGCAATAACAACAAAAAAAGGGAGAAGCTACTCACTCCTGCGTTGATTACTACTTTCTTGATGCGTATGAAGCATCCTTTTCTTCAACAAGCGCGTTTTAGAGATGAAAATTAAAGTGAAGATTTATTGACTTCTATTCTAACAAAGACAATCCCACAGCGAACTACAACATCTCGAACGATTCTCGGTGCAAACCTTCCTCCACAGACAGGACTACGTTACCTGGTCTTCTGCGATGTGTTTTTTAGCCCACGGAGATTCCAGCAGCGTGGACAGCGCCTGCAGGCAGGACATCACGTGTTCGATGGGCTCCTCGGGTCGGGGGAAGCAGAGGAACTCGATACTGACACCTGACAGACAGAACACCAAAGCACACTCAGGGTGTGTCTACTCCCTCACTGCTCGATGCACGACGGTAAAACAAACACAAAGCAGCGTTACCCAACAAAAGATGCATCCGGTCGTTGACCGACTCCTCGAAAGTCCTCGTTTTGGAGGAGCCTTCAGGAGACTTGGAGGGAGCCGAAGAGACGTCCTCTTGATCTTTGCCTGCTCCAAACCCGGTGCTGCTCAGCCAGAGGGCCACGGCGTGCAGGACCGGGGCCCAGGAGTTGCGGTAGTGGAGCCGCGCTGTGTCTATCGTCTCTGGGGTGTAAAAAGCTCCACCTGCGAAAAGACCCACGTCAGGAAGGTATTTGGATTTTAATTTGCTTAAACGTTCAGTTTTAGAGCATCTTAAACAACCAACAGGTGAACTTGTGACAATTTAAAAGTTTACCCTGAAATCCTCCAGATAAAGTTCAAACGTTCATCTGAAGAGATCAGTTGTTGCTACTTTTAACTAGAGAAACTGCATTTCCTGTGAAAATGCAGTGTGAATGCTTATTGCTGAAAAACAGCTGAAATTAGCTAAAAACATGCTGAAATGTAGCTGAAATGGAAGAACAAGCCCAAATTAGCAGAAGAAAGCAGAAAGAACACATATTTGCTGAATTAGGCTTACATAAACAGAAATTAGCACAAAATATAAGAAATTAACAAAAAAAGTTGAAATTGGAAAAAAAAAAAAAAAAGGCTAAAAATAGATGAAAATGCAGAAAGAGCTGAAATGAGCTAAAAATGTAGAATTAGCTGAAAAAGCTAAAATTAGCTAAAATAGTAGCTGAATGAGGAAAAAAACTGAACCGAGCAAAAAAAATGAGAAAGGACCATAACAAGCTAAAATTAGCATAAAGAAGTTAATAACGGTAATCTGAAAGTAGCAGAAATGACCACAAAAATCTTGAATTTATCTGAAAACAGCTGAAATTAGCTAAAAAAAAAAAAGCAAGCTTGAATGGTAGAACAAGCTTAAATTTGCAAAAGAAGCAGAAAGAACACACGTTTGCCCAATTAGGCTGAAAGAAGCAGAAATGAGCACAAAAAAGTGGGAATTGTCTGAAAAAGAATAAACAAAAACAAACAAACAAAAAAAAAAACAGCTGAGAAGTAGCTAGAAAGGCAGAAGGAAGCTTAAATACCAGAAGGAGGTGGTGAGAGCCGTGGTGAGAGCACATATTTACTGAATTTGGCTTAAAAAAGTTGAAATGAGTACAAAAAGTGTGGAATTAGCTTAAAAAGCTCAAATTAGCATAAAACAAGTTAAATAGTAGCTGAAAAGGCAGAAAAAGCTGAAACTTGCAGAAATAAGTTGAAAGGAGCATAATAAGCTGAAATTAGCAGAAAGAAGTTAGAAGCAGCACAAACATTTTGTAGTTAGCAGAATCTGAAAGGAGCACAAAACAGCTGAAAAAAACAGCTAAGTAGCTGAAAATATTTTAAAATTTGCATGAAAGAAGCTGAACGAAAACAAAATATGAAAGGAGCAGTAAACGATTGTAAACAGATCTAAAGATCTGAAGGATGTAAAATGAGCTCAATTCATTTTCTCTGAGGAAAAAACGGCAGAAAAGGCTAAATATTTCAAAAAGCTAAAGTTGCACCAACAGTCATAGCACCGTTCTCCTAAAGGAGCTGAACGTTTGAACACCTAAACTGCTGAAATATCTTTAAAATGTTTTACCTACTCTTTTGCTACTTTAGCTTTTAGCTAAAATTTTGCTGCCTTTAAGTAATGTTTTGCTACTATGAGCTTTTAGATAGAATTTTGCTACTTTTAGCCATTAGGTAGTAGTTCTGCTTGCTAGTGTCTTTTCTTATTTTTTTAGCTAGCTTTTTGCTTCTTTTAACGTTAACAATAGTTTCAGCTTCTTCAACAAGTATTTGCTAAATCATTCAGCGTCCACGCTGCGTTTTCACAGAAAATCCAAAAGCTTAATGTAAATCTGGGGCACTTTTAGAAGTAGATTCTCAGCTGACGGAGAAGAAGCTGGCGGTACCTTCAGGCGGCAGCTGACTTGAGAACTCTGCGGGCAGAGTGAGCAGAGCGTAGTCCCGCAGCATGGCCAGCCAGAGGCGGCTCAGCGACGGCAGCTCTGGCTGCACTAAAGTGATGAGACTGTCAGGAGGAAGCACGTCAGCGCCCAGGTCCTCTTCGTCCTCATCCTCGTCCTCTCTTCCGACCGGTTTGGCGGGCTTAGACTCCGCCTCTTTCTTGACCTTCATCGCCACCACGTAGACCTGACGAGGACAGCCAGCGAGTGCGGTCAGATTAGTTTGATGAGTAAAAAGGAGGAATGCTCTCCGAGCTCACCTCCGCCCACGCCTTCAGCACAGCCAGCTTCTCCATGGTGGTGGCGCTCTCACTGTACAGCTGACTGGAGGAGCTCTTCCCAGCCTGCACCTTGTCCAGCGAGGACACCAGCAGGTTGTGGACTCGTCTCAGGTCATTCAGATCGCTGACCACGCCACTGCCGATCCACGTGCTACAAACCTTCAGACACACACAGAATATCCGAGAGTCATTGATTTTCTGGTGTCCAGGGTCCATCCTTACCCGATGTCTGAACCACTTCTGGATGTGCGGGAGCAGCGGTTCTACTCCCAGCCTCTCCCAGATAACTGAACTCACCGTGTCTCTAAGAGAGCATCCAGACTGTGTGTCACTCTGACTAATCTGACTCCAATACCTAAAGTTTTATTTCACGGCTAAACAAGTATTTTTAGTAATTGGTCACTCGTTCTTTACTATCAGTTACTTCACTAACATTTTGGAAAAAGGAAATTGTCCAAGCCTCCTGACCCCCAAGAAGATCATAGTAACTATGCATCAAGTATTTTAATATAGGCACGTTTTTATTTTAAAAATTTTAATTTCATAACCATTCTGTTCCATTTGCTCTGAGAACAACTGCTCTAAAAGGATTATAACTCACTTTGCAGTAACGTCTCCGTTAAGGCCCCCACATACTTAGATAGATAGATGTATACTTTATTGTTCCCAAGGGGAAATTTGTCTTGGACATCGTGCGCTAAACAAAGCTTCTTCCACAGTTAAATACACTGCAAACAATAAAATCATGTGAACACCACTATAAATAAAAAAATAAAAAAACTACTTAACTCAGCGGAGGTCCACGTGTACTCGAGGCGGATTTGAAGCGAATGTCCGCCGGCCATGTTCGTGGAAAGATCAATTTTTTCGAACGCGTACGCGTACTCGGTGTCGCACAATAAACTGCCTGGCGACGGACTGTTTTGTACGCGACACCAACCGCTCTCAGTGCAGTCGCAAGGATGCGCAGCGCGACTGCCGCTCTCTGTGCAGCGCCGACAGGTGTGCGGTGGCCGCCCTGGCGGTGAAGACACGGGGCTAAGCGCCCAACTAGCTCATCAAACTCGCTAGAATCCATTCAAAAATATTCAAAATGTTTATCGCTGTCCATTGTCTTCATGTCTTTCACCAATGTATTAAATTCCCCCTTCTTCATCCTTGATCTGGTTTAATGGCCTTTTTTTTTTTGCCAAGAAACAAGCGATCACTTCCTCCTCGTCTGTTGACGCCATGACTGAAACTGTGAGAAATGAAGGAATTTGTCAAGAGAGAATGAAAATCTTTACGCTCAGAACTGGCGTGGCTAATCGCGAAAGTCTGGAGATGTCCCGGTGGGCCGGTCTGATGTGTGGGCTGCAGGGCCGGCGCTCCCTGTTTTTTTTTTTGTTTGTTTTTAAAGAACGTTTTCTTAACAACCTATAAACACAGAACAACGCTGTTGCTGCTGCTCCTGAGCCGCCCTGCCTCTACCCAGGGCCGCCGGCAGCTCTCCTTTTTTTTTTTCACGAGTCGGATCTGCGATGCGACCTCTCAATCAATCCAGCAGGCGTGTCTGCAAATGACCAATCATCGACCTCAATTTGTCCCGAAGGTAAAAGCCCCTTACCTGCAGAGCTGGGCTGCAGCCCATCAGGGTGTACGCTCGAATATGAAGTCTCAGCCATCTGCGGCTAGTCCGCGCGGCTCACGGAGTACACACAGTATGCCCGAGTATGTGGGGCCTAAAGTTCCCTGTCATCCTGCTACTTACAGACACTCCAAAATAGTCTAATGAAATTAAAGGTACGGTTTGTGGGAGCCATAGGGTCATATAAAATTAGGGCGGAGCAGGCGGTCACATGACCTTGCAGTTTACTGCAGCAACGGTGGCCATTACCAAAATGGGCAAATGTCTGTACCTGGTGTTTTGACAAATAATAACTATGGTGGGAGTTGTTGGTACACCAGAGGTTACAGTCTGAATGTACAGTGCATGAATTGTTTGCTGTAGCCAAATGGTGTTTTTGCAACTTTTGTGCAGATCTAAACAAATAAATAACAGGATTTTAACCCTCCAATCAAAAAGCGTCTTACCTTGCATGCTTTAGCCGTAATGTCAGACGGTGTATCGTGTGAAAACGCAGGTCTGAGGGCAGCTCCCACCTAAATGCACACAGTTCACACAAAGTCAAATTTACCTCGTTTCACTCATTCTGCAGCTTTTCAAATGGAGTTGCAATTCAAAGGGTTTCAGCTCACATTGGCCTGATACTGCTCAAGAATAACGTGTCCTGGGAACTCAGGTTCTGGTACTGATGCAAACTTTTTAATGATGTCTTCCAGGGCCTGTAGACCGGCCATCCTCAGCTGGTTACTGTGGTCTGTGGATGCCATGAAGGCCATACGGATGAGGTCGGACAAATGGAGCACCAACAGATCCCCTGGATGGACAGTGATGGATGGAAAACAGCAACTGTCTGAGAACTAGAAACTTATTTATAAAGCCTGTAAAGAAGTTTTAAGTAACAAAAATAACACTATTAAGACTGGTTACCATTTTTCTGATTAGGTCTCATTTCTGTAAAAGGTTTTATCATTTCTTCTTGCCGACCCTTTATACCGTGCTATTACTGTTGAGTCTGTACTATACTTATTCCAGATGATATAAATACAGGCTCTTCTACCTGTTGCAGTGGAAAAAAACCTCTGACGCTCGCTTAGTCAGGTCTTGCTTTGTTCAGTTTTTACACGAAACACACGTAGATCAGCTGTTTTCAAGGAGCTGACCTTAGACTTGCCCCGGAGGCAGCAGACATACTCAAAGTATGAACTCAAACAAAGTAACCGAACCATCAGGATGCACAACTCAACACAAGTACCGGTACATTCATTTTGTACAGGGCTGGTGGCTGATAAATGGTACCTTTGGGGTTCTTGGCTTTAGCGGAGCGGGCGGCTGCCAGGTCAAAGTGCAGCTTGTCTGCGTTCTCACACAACAGGATGATCCGACACAAGCAGTCTGCGGCGAACACCCGCGTCACCCACCGCGGCGCCACCGACGGCTTGGACTTGTCATCGTCTCCCAGGCCTGTGAACATGGTGTCATCGTCCATCTCGTCCTTTTTCTCAGAGTCCTCTTCGTCCTTCTCTACCTCAAAGGTGACGGCTCCCCCAACATCTGAAAGGACAAAGTTCAGTTATTCGGAGATTTGGAGCTGCAGACGAGTTTGTTAGTAACACAACTATATCTTGGAAAAAAAACAACTTGAAACTGACAAAAGTTTAATAGCATCAACAACAACCCAGTGGTTGTCTGTAAGGCACCTGACACTGATTAGGATTAAACACTTTGTTTGAAACAAAACTATAAACCAAGGATTAATGGTCTTTTTAGGATAACAAATTTGTTTGTACTGTTTTATCATACATACAAAATTAACAAAAAATATTTTCTCCTCATAATTTTCTTTCTTTAATATGGTTCAGACACATTCTTTTAAAACGCCTATATGATCTAAATGTCAGCAGCCATCTTGTGTTGTGGATTAGAGAACGTTTGAAAGACCCAAGACATCTGTGTTGATAACACTAACTGCAGGGTTTTGAACACTGGAGTTCCACAGGGCTGTGTGCTACCACCACTTTTATTCTCGTTATACATAAATGAGTTGCAACATAACAACAAAGACTTCATATTAATTAAGCATGCTGATGCCCTAGTCGCTGGTCTGAAAGACACATATAGCCTCTCCTAATCCCAGCTCATAGATCAGCTCTCTGCCTGGTAAACTGGACCTTAATGTCAGTGAAACCAAGGAGCTTTGTCTGAGAGGTAGATGGGGAGAAGCCAGCACCAGACCTGTATTCAGACCTTCTGTTATAAAAGGGCAGGAAGTTAGAGCAGGTGACTGAATTTAAATACCTCGGAACAATAATTGATAACAAGTTGACCTTTCAGCCCAACACAGACTGTATTTACAAAAAAGTCAGACAGCATCTTCACAAGCTTTAATGCTAGCAAAAATATCTTTACCTAGCAGGTTGAAAGTGTGACAGGAAAAAGTTGTCCAGGGTGGTCAAACTATTGTAAAATCACTGGTCATCAACAAATGCAACCTACAGAGTCAGGCTCTAGACAAAAAGAGACTATAGGTTTACAATGACCCAACTCATCCACTGCAACCATTATTCAGGTTGGTACCATCTGGCAGAAGACTGCTGGTTCCTCTGGTACAGAAAAATGGGTACAAAAAGTAACCTGTTCCCTCTGCTGTGTGTCCTTAATAGGGTCCTAATTAAACGTAGCCTCACATGACAAACCATTGTCTAAGATGTTTTTATGTTTTTAATGTATCATGCATTTTAGAATTGGTTTTACTGGGTTAGCAAAGCTTTTTAAAAAGTTTTATGGATTTTTTTTAAACTTACAATGTTTTTTTACGTATGAGCCAGATGTCAAAGATAAATCTCCATGTGAAGAAATGTTATGGACAATAAAGCTATACTGACTGACTGATTCTTTGCTTGCTCTATCACGTATGTGGTGCGCAGATATACATTAGACATTAGCTTTTAACCAAGTCCTTTTTTTAAAGAGAAATTAAGCATTTATTCAGTGAGCTGTAAGGGTAACAACACATTTATGTGTGTTGTGCTAATTTTGTGATTTACCTGTAGTTGCTGCGAGAACATCCTTGCAAAGTTTCAGCCAGTGGGAAAGTTTTTCCACAGCAAGAGACGACAACATGTGACCCAGAGTGTCATGGATGTCAGAGCACAGCTTCCTGTCTGTCTCCCGATCCAGCATGCCGAACAGAACGCCCTCCAGACCGGTCTCGGTGATGTTCAGATCTGCACCGTGTACCAGGACAACACAGTTAGACCCAGCATCTCCAAGCAGAGGCGACCAGATCTGGATCCTGACCGACACTCACTGATAGTTGAGCTGTCTTTGCTGTCTCCTGCTCTTTTCGCCAAGCTCATGGCGTACTCGCAGACCTCTGCAGCTTCTCTCTGGGCGAGCTGTCTGAGGCAGGCCACCGCAGCACGACGCAGCAGCAGGTGAGAGCTGCACAGGTGCACCTACAGGAATGCAGCAACACTTAACAAATCACGACTTTACAGCCACGTGAACGTTAAACTACCGTAGAACGAAGCTCGTGTCTTACACATAGACAGGGCACCAGGCCGGACAGGTTCACGTGGCGAGGAGCGAACATGTGCAGCTGCTGCAAACAGGAGATGGCGGCCGCCTGGACCAGTGAGTCAGAGTGGTCCTGCATGATGGCACAGCCGACCAGGCAGGAGGAGCGGATGGTGGAAACGGTGGCTCCATTTCCTAACAAACCAAATCAGATGAATGGAAAAAAATTAAAAACACAGAATCTTTATTTACCGTGAGCAGAACAAAAGGCCCTCCGGCGTTTGTCACTGCAAATCATATACAATAAAACTGAGCGAGGTTTGGCCACACCCAATTTTATTCCTGCTGTAAAACAAAAAGTGCCCTGGCTTGTTTCGCTGCCCACACAAAATGCAAAACCGTCTTTGTAAGAGGAGCCAAACACAGAAAGCAGGAATAGTTCCTGTTGGACATCTTTACAATCATTCATAAAAAGAACTAAAGCTTTACCACCCTATAAAACCTTAATCAAAAACCTCATTTTCACCACAATGTAGCCAAAAAAAGTAAAAAAAACAAAAATAACTGGACTTCTATTCTACTACTTCATTTATTAAGTCCTTTAAAACAACCACAGCTGCAACAAAGTGCTGCACATATAAAATCAAGAACATTTAAACACATAAAAGAGTAAAATAGTTAAAACAGTAAGAGCAATAAAAATAATAGTAGTGCAGAGCAAATTTCAGGCTGCGCCAAACACGAGGGAATAAAATCGTGTTTTTAAAAAGAGTTCAACAGTTTTTTGAAGTCCAGTTGTTTTTTTAACTTTAGTTGTGGATTGCTCATCGTCAGGGGAATTTAGGTAAAGGTTTATGGATGTTTATCACTGCTAATGCTGAAAGTGTGAGGTCAGAGAGGAGCCTGCAGGCACCTGATGCAGTCTGGAGGAGCTGATCATTATAAAAACATTTCCTGCTTTTCTGTCCGGTTGCACATTCTCACGGCTCTAAGCACGTAAGTTCGTACATCTGTGAAATCCTGCTTCGTGACCGTCTGCCCTTGCAAGTAGGTGTGCACCGATTGCAGTTTTCTGGCTGATCATTGATTTCTAAAAAGTATGACCTGACAATTCCGATTTTGTCCGAAACCGATTTTGTTTTATAAGCGATACTGTCAGGTGTTATAAGGTCAAAATGCACCTTCAATTTTCTGATCTTATTTTATTGAAAAACGTACCCTTGAACATGATCCTAGAAGCAATACAAACTTGTTTTAACTGGCCGTGAGGTAGTGCTCTGAAATATAAATGACGTTTAGACAATTATTTTTAAAACTACAGTCAATCGGTAAAATTGGTTTCTCATGCAAGTATCGGCTGATCTCCGAAAATTAAGGACATCGGGGCCGATAAATCGGCCGGCTGATTTATCAGTGAACCCCTACATGCAAGTAAAAATCCTTAAAAATCTTCTCCTGGGCTTTTTGTGGCTCCTTTTTGTGCGTAGATAATGAAAGGATATTTATTTATCCAACATTTTGGTCCTTCGAGCTGGATCACAAATTTAGTTGAAATTCAAAATTTTGAAAATTTTGAATTTAAAGAGGGAGGGAAAGAAAAACACAACTTGAAATAAATTAGAAACCAATAGGTCCATGCCAGTGGTCAAAATATTTTATTTAGTGTTTATTTAGGCAGGTTCCTGACGGGAGGCTGTTTAAATATCCAAATACTCAGGAAAGATGGTTAAGTGACCCCTTTATCCACTCCTTTGGTCTACAGCAGGTTAATCTGGACTGTTCTTTATAGAAGGAGACTGTTTCAGTCGTTCATTCTGACAGTCAAGTATTTTAAGAGTTACTGAATACCTGAAAATTAACAGGAAGATGGAAACAAGCAACTGTTTTCAATGTTACAACAGCGTAGTTTGACTTATGGCTTTAACTTGACATTTTAAAAGATATTTTCTGCTGCCAAACCTGAAAAAGGCCAATATTTGTTACTAAGTTGTTCATGTTCAATAATTATTTAAACAAATTCATCCTACTTGCACCGTTATATTCTACCATTTTGTTGTTTACTATATTTCTTTGGAACTTGTAAATATTATATTTCATTTTCTCTTTTTGGTACTTTATTTTGTACCCTTACTGCATGATTCAGTATTTCTTGTTTTTTATTTTTTGCTTTTAGTGAGTTGAACATCCTGAACATTACATTGTATTGTTGACCTTGTGTTAACCTGAATATGACAAAAAAATAAATAAATAAACAACATAACGTGTTGACAAAGTTGGTAAACAAATGAAAGATGCTCAAGTATCTAATTCACTTCAACTGCCTTTTATAAAACTTTAAGCACTCTCATTTTGATTTTATTGTTTTTTTTTTATCAAAGTAAAACAAGCTTTTATTCTTTGTTTCTTTTACCTGTTCTTTTTCTTGTTTTAGCTATTATTCTGCTACATTTTAGCTATTATTCTGCTACATTTTAGCTATTATTCTGCTACGTTTTAGCTATTATTCTGCTACATTTGAGCTATTATTCTGCTACATTTGAGCTATTATTCTGCTACGTTTTAGCTATTATTCTGCTACATTTTAGCTATTATTCTGCTACATTTTAGCTATTATTCTGCTACATTTTAGCTATTATTCTGCTACATTTTAGCTATTATTCTGCTACATTTGAGCTATTATTCTGCTACATTTGAGCTATTATTCTGCTACATTTGAGCTATTATTCTGCTACATTTTAGCTATTATTCTGCTACGTTTTAGCTATTATTCTGCTACGTTTTAGCTATTATTCTGCTACATTTTAGCTATTATTCTGCTACATTTTTGATACTGTTCTGTACAAAACTCATCTGTTTTCTCTGGCTTTTAACACATCGTGATTTGATTTAGTATTTTATTGTTCTGCATTTTGTTTGTCTTCTGATGCTTTTAATTAATTTTCAATAATATCATCATTTTATTTTATTTATCCATAAAAATTACTCCCATGATTTTTATTGTTAAGCACTTTGGTAACAGCTGCTGTGTTAAATGTATTTTATAAATAAAGTTGACAATAATTCTTTACTGCCACCTGCTGGCTAAGAAATGCTAAAATCGTTACTTTATAAAGAAATATGACTCTATTCCAGGGTTGGGCAACATTTTTTATCCCCGTCAGAAGGCTAAATCAAGATATTTAATGCAACTGAAGGGTCACACAGAGAATTGGAAAATAGCATTTCTTTATGACAGATAATATGGAAGGCTTTTTTCTTGTTGTGGCGTAATGCTTGATTAAAAAAAATGACTAGGAATATAAGACATCCTTTCTGTGAACTGGTTTTGGTGGCAACACATTTGTTAGTTTAAGTTTATTTGTTTTACACTTTGTGGAGCCTTTAAGGTTCAGTCTAGTTCTGGAAACATTACGACTTAAGAAAAAAGTTTTGTTTAATATAAACTACTTTAAGTTTCATTGGTAAAATGCAGGTATTCATCAGCTTATTTAAAAGTTGTTTTCATTTCAGTTAAGGATATTGGGGGGGCCGGATGAAAACTGTCAAAGGGGAACTTTTGGCCCTCGGACCATATGTTGCCCACATCTGCTCTGACGGCTGCACAGACGGAACAGTTACCCTGCAGCTCAGGTCCAACCGTGGTGATGAGAGCTCCCAAGCAGCGGCCCAAACACTGGTGAACCTCTGTGTGAGAAGGAGGCACGGTGAGGAGCAGGGTGAGCACCAGGGAGAGCGTGGGCTCCACATAGCCTCTGTACATGGGGCCACTAGAGTCCACGATCAGAGCCAGAGAGTGCAGAGCCCATGTCTGGTAACAGAGATACAAAATAAATTAAAAACCACGAGTCGCTTTCTAAATCTGCTCCTCCTGAGTAAAGTTCTGTACCTGGACCTCGTGAGACGACCCGTCCTGAGCGAGAGCCAACAGGATGCTGACGCTGGTCTTTAGGTGCTGGCCGGACCCGATTCCTCCAACGTATCGATGCAGACAGCCAAGAGCCAACGAGTGGCCCGTCCTAGAGACGACATCACGGGCCGACTTCAGTCTGTGAAAGGAGAAGGAGCCGAGATGTGGGTCAAACAAAACGAAGAGCACAACGTATCATTTCCCAGAACAACTTCCTGTTTTTACTTTATTCAGTTTAACCTATATCTGTTATAGCAGGAACTAATTTTGTCTCTTTACTAAATAAAACAGAACTAAAGCTGAGTGTTAAACAACAGCCGAAGTTCACAAAAGAAGCTCAAATGTACTTGTTAAAGCTAAAAGAAGCAAAACATTAACGAAAAGTAGAAAGCACTAGCTTAAAGCTAAAAAGGAAAACAATAGCTAAAGATAAAAAGAGCAAAACAACAGTTAAAAGCCAAAAATAGCAAAAGATAAGCTAAAAGAAGCGTAACACCAGCTAAAAGCTAAATGTAGCAAAACACTAACGAAAAGTAGAAAACACTAGCTTAAGACTAAAAAGCAAAAAACTAGCTAAAGGTAAAAAAGCAATACAACAGCTAAAAGTCAAAGGTAGCAAAAGGCAAGCTAAAAGAAGCACAACAGTTTCTAAAAGCTAAAAAAATTAAAGCTGCAGAAATCATATTTAAAAGTAGAAGTATTAACAGCTAAAAGAAAAGTATCAAAAACTAGCTAAAATATAGCAGAATAATAGCTAAAAGGAAAAAAAAAGAGGTAAAATAAACTATATGGTAGCTAAAAACTAAAAGTTGCACATAGTCAAAAAAGCTAGAATGTTGAAGCAGATTTCCAAGAAACAAGTATTTTTATTTGTAATTAAAGTTAAATATTCTGAAAAGTATTAAAGTTACAAAAAAAATAAAGTCACGACCCCCATCTCTCCTGATTATTTTGATTTATAACTGACTAAAAAAAGCACAAAGTCTGCAGAAGCTGGATTGAAAAACGCTGACTCAGCGTTCGCACCAACACAGTATGTATGTATGTGTGTGTGT